TTTCTTAAGATTTAGAGGCATAAGATTTACTTTACACCAGTAAGCCATGCTGTTTAAGTCTGATTATAGCAAAGACCTTTCTTCAATTGAAACGTACGATTTATAAAGTTTTACATCATCTGCATACATTAAAATTTTGGAGAATTTTATATCTGTAGAAATATCGTTTATAAAAAGCAAGAACAGAATCGGGCCTAGGTGGCTACCCTGAGGGACTCCTGAAGTAACATCAATGACGTCAGAGATAGTATTTTTAAACAATACCCTTTGTGATCTATCATAGAGGTATGAAGAGATCCAACGTAGAAAATTAGGTGGAAGACCAAGAAGATCAAGTTTATAGATGAGCAACGAGTGGCACACTTTGTCAAATGCTTTACTGAAATCAGTATATATAACATCAACAGTTTTGCTCTCACTAAATGCTTTTGAGATATAGGATGTTAATTCAAGTAAATTTGTAGAAGTTGATTTGCCCTTGCAAAATCCATGTTGACTGTATGAAATGCTTGAAGTGATAGAATGCGTCAACCGATTTGTTATAATTGCTTCAAATAATTTAGGAATTGCAGAAAGCTTAGCTATGCCCCGGTAGTTCTCCACTGAAGACCTGCTACCGCTTTTATGTAAGGGGGTTATGAACGATTCCTTCCATACAGTTGGAAAAACGCCCTCTTTAAGAGACAAATTAAATAAGGCTGTTAACGGCTCATAGAGATAATCAGCACAATTTCTAAGAAAACAAGTGGGGATCTGGTCAGGACTGCTTTAAGGACTTCAGGTAAACTAAAACATCATCGGGAGATATTATAGGGTTATGTATTGAGTAAATTGGACTTAGTTTAAAAGGATAGTCAAAGTATGCTTGGGAGTTAGTGGAATAATTGGATTTAAAAAACTGAGCGAACATGTTAGAAATTGTTTGATTATCACCAGAGACGGTATTTTGATACTTCATGGCGGAAGGAAACCCACGTACATTTCGCTTGGAGTTTACGAAATCATAAAATGATTTGGGGTTATATATTATACGTCATTTGATTTTACACAAGTAATCTTTATAACACTTTTTGTTTAATTCAAAGAACTTGTGACGCAAAAGTGAGTATTTTACATAGTATGAGTGTAAGCCGGTTTTTTTGTGTAATCTAAAATAACGTGACTCTGTTTTTCAAGTTTCTCAGTTCTTTAGTGAACCATAACTGTGTTTGTTCTACAGGAACACACATGCGTTTAGGCACATACTTTTCAAATAATCTATGTACAGTAAAATTAAAATGTGCAACGCTTTGCTCAACTTTTTCTTTGTATATAGGCCACGACAATTTAGACAATTCTTTATTCAGTTTTTTAAAGTTGGCTTGCGAAAAATCAAAGCGAGTATTTGGCTCGTATGTTTGGACATCGCAATTTTGACCATCGTTTATAATTTCGTAAGATATCTCAATAGCAGGGTGGTAGACATCTTCGGGCAAAACTAGTGGGTCACATTTATTTACAGCCGACTTAGATGCATCATCAACATAAACAAGATCTAATACTTTGCCAAACTTATTGCGAAGTACATTAACTTGATTCAGGCAGAGTTCAGCCATCTCCTCTAAAAATACGTTGTTGCACGCGCTAGACGAGAAAGGTACAATATCATTGTCAATGATGTTCCATGATACATTTGGTAAATTAAAGTCACCCAACACAATCAATGAATCAGAGGGTTTAATCATTGAATTAATTGATTTCAGTAAAGATACATGTTGTGAATACACTGATAAGTCAGATCGGGGAGGAATATAGCGTAGAGCTAAGTAAGTAAACCCCCTTCCAACCTGAACACGAATGCATTTGAATTCTGCAGATTCGATGTGTGGAAGACTAACTTCTTCAGATGGTATTGAAGAGTCTACGGCAAAGAGTACGCCACCGCCGACTCTGTCCTCCCGATCTTTTCTGTAGATATGATAATTATTTGAAAGAATCTCTGAATTAAAAGTGTGAGGTTTGAGCCAAGTTTCAGTCAAAGAAATTATATTATAATTGCATTCAAGGCCATTAAGATTTAAATTCGTTAATTTAGTATTTATGCCTCTTAAGTTTTGATAATAAATACTTAAAGCAGATTTAGTAATCAGTTTTTTGGTTCTGTATTCTGACGGGGAATATTTGCTAAATTATTATTTTTGTTGGGCCTATACTCAAATTCACGAAAGCTCCGGAGGGCCGAAAGAACTACTAAGCAGCATGTCAAAATTGTCTAAATTTACGTATATTTTAAATGAAGAAATATTTCTTTCATATTTAAAATTAAATTTTCTGATACTTAAGTTGACAGTTTTAACTTTGGACGAGATGTAAAACTTTATATCGTCCTCGGAAGTATCCCTCGAAAATCTAGATACAAATATAGACTTCTTTGGGGGAACCACAACCAGTCTCCTAGTATCAGACTCGATTACCGGCGGACGGGGTTGAGTAACTGAGTTACTAGTTGAGGGTAGAGTAAGCGTTGGAAGATTGGATGGCGGTGCCACAACTTCAAAGGGGGACGGGGAAGATACTGCAGGGTCGTTATTATTAGAAGCAGACTTTGATATATGTTCTTTAGAAGAAGATAACTCCGTTGTCTGTGGACATGGAGAAGAAAGGTTAATTAAGTCATTCGGAAGAGTGTTCTGACGTGGAACGGTCCTTTCATTAGGCGGACTATGAAGACGCTTACGTTTTGACACACGAATGTCCTTCATAGATTGTACGGTATCTAAGCATTTAAAAGATTTAAATACATTTTCGTAATGTTTAAATTTTTCGGTCAGTACCGACAACTCTCTCCCTACCTCAGAAAACCCATTTCTGGTTTGCCTAAACAACTTAAAGAGATCAACTTCGGTTGACCTGCACTTTAAGCAAGACCAGCGAAGACCTTTGCCATCATTAATAGCGTCCAGAATTCTTCCTGTCAAACCAGCACATTTTAGATGGCAAATACCATCACAGAGCCAGCACGATAAGTAGCGTTCAGATTCGCTTTTGATTTGGCAGTTATCAAGATCACACTTCATATTGAAAGATTTAATAACACTTATGTTAATAAAAAGACAAGCAAAATAAGTTTAACAGAACACACACAACAATTCAGGAGCTGATGTATTTAGCTTAAAAATATATGTAGCGAACAGTTTGAGTATCACTGTAATGTGACACTTAATAAACGCAGCGCAAACAGCTGTGACAAGAAACACTAAACGAAGTAAACAAACAGAGCAAAAAGAAATGTGCAAAAATAGAAACGATCTCAGTTAACTACAAAGGAATAACAACAACAATGATTACAACAAATGACTCGGCAAGATTAGATGTAAGCTAGTGAAATTTAATTAAATTTAATAAAAACCACAAAAATCACAAAACTTTCCCTTAGCTTCGGTTATTATCACACTAGATGCTCGTAGGCACTTTTTATAGCAACTTTTACTCAAAATTAGCACAATGAACTTTGCAAAATACAAAGACCAATCAAGGCACAAATAAGTAGAACTTCACAGCTTGACGTTTGCGTATCAACATGTATTTTTATAAATAGTACTTTTAAAATACACTGAAGTAATATAATATTTAAAATACAAATTTATTTTTGTTTCTAGTATTCGCACTATAGCAAGACCACAAAACTAGTTTGTTAGCATATTTTAATTAATGGTAATAATATCCCGAAATATCCCGGGATTACCAATTTAAGATTCCGAAATCCCGGGATTCACAAAATGGTCCGGGATTGGATGCCTTAGTACCAACTTTCCGATGAAGAAAGTGTTATCGAAATCGGTTATACGGTTATACGGTAACATACATAAAAAACATATGTATATTCCGACAAACTGATAACCTCCTCCTTTTTTTGAAGTCGGTTAAAAATTAAAGAAACTAATAAAATTTCATGATTTCTATTTTATTGGTTAAGCTAATAATACATTACAAATTTAGTGGAATTGGTTCGTTAATTCAAGCCCTTTACCTTTCTCTTTATTTGTTTTGACGCAAATATTTGAAGAAGGATTTGCAAGCGGCATGCAGCATATCTTGGTCCATTTCGTCCCAAATTTGTCTCAGTCGAGGTTTAAATTTATAAATATTTATTAGACAGCTGATTGCTATTTGACCAATAAACATACCTCAAAGTCAAAATTAAACATACCCAGCAGGGTTGCACGAAGAAATTCTTTCAGTTACCGATTAAGAATGGAAATATTATATAGTAAATCGAGTTCAATTAGCGTCTTAACAGAGAAAGCTTGGCTAATTACTCGTTTAACTGCTTGTCTTAACTTAGTATTTCGAGATCTAAAAGGCGAAAATTTGATCCAACGAACTGATTCCAATAACTTTGTAAGGTATCTTAACCAATAAAAAAGAAGTCATGAGATTTTATTGGTTTCTTTAAATCTAATAAACCTTGATTTAATGGCACTTATTCTGGGTCAGACTGTACATATGTATGTATAGCTTGAAGTGTTTTAACCATGGCCAAAAATTTGTTTGTACATATCGCTTCAATACAGTTTTGGGTGTAATTACCAGTAGAATCACGTTGCATCTTAAAATTACGCCCGATTTAACCCATCAATTTGCAGATGACTCTCAAACTGATAATCTGTTTGGAAAACATTATATTGCAGTTTGATAAGGAATTTGAAGACCTTTAATCTGGTGGACAGCTTTTTGCGATCGCAAAAGTAGTACTATAGGTTTTTGGAAAAAACTAAAAACGGTAGTTTTGGAAAATCTCAAAACCTTATACATAGACTTCTTTTATTTCTGACTTCATATTCAGATTCCGTGAGTTATTTTACATAGTAAATGACTAAATTTCATGGTTTTTTACTATTTTGTATAAAACGAGTTCCTTGAATGCATATGGTTTTCCAAATTTTCAAATGCAACGTGCACATACTTAGAGTTATCAGATTAAAACAATATTTTGCATTTTTAGATCAAAATACTTATTTCTGCCTGGCAAACGGTATATTTCAAGAAAAAGTTTAATTAACGAAAATGTATAATGTACATACAGGCCACGCCAATAAAGTGTGCTAAAAATTACTCTTGCTCAGCTCTTACTATATTTGGTAAATATGGTTTTCGTTATTCTAGTATAAAAAGATACTCTAGATTAAAGCTCATGTTACATGTTCATAATTTTTATACTTTAAATTTTTTTAAGTGTAAATATTGCAATCTGCCTTTGTACTACCGTCACGATCCTGCATCCGATGTCACATTCGTCATTCGAGGTTCATTAGTTCGTAAAAAAATTGATAATGCGCTGGAGTTGGAAGAAGTGATGACTGCGGATTCATGCATTGAAGGAGTAGGTTTTGGTGCAAGTGAAAAAATCATGGTAACTCGCCATACGAAGCACATGGGAAAATTTAGCTCGGTTACAGTCTCAACCATTGACGAGGAAGAAGATGAAATTGAAGCAGTAAGTGAATTTGTGATATAAGGTTAGAAACTAATGAATTTTTCTTTTATTTCTCTTAGCGCGAAATCGCAGATAGTTATGCAAACAATGCCAAAATTATAGAGAAACAACTACAGCGGAAAGGTGGTAAATTGACGGATTTGTGTTTACGACAAAAAACAGAAGAACCGCCTTTAGCAAAGAAAGCGAGGGGAACATTACTTGATTTGTAAACCATTTTATGAAAAATAAATTTTTTGCATTGGAATGATAATAGATTGTAATAAAATAATTGTCATGACTTGTTCTATTACGGCTTTCCCACGGCTCAATTACGTAGTACGCTCTGAAATTCGTAATTCGCGCTCCAATTACCCTTCGAATTACGTAATTCGCCATACAAAATTTGGAGAGCGAATTGCCTCAATTACCATGCGAATTACGAACACATCGGTGCCGCCTCTAATTTTTATCGGAGGTTTATCGAAACTAGCTCACAAATCAAAACATGCATTTTTTCTGAGTACGAAAAGTAATGTTTATAAATGTGTATATCCCTAATTTAATACGGAAACCTATAAATTTTAGGAAGAACCTACATTTTGCGGCGAAGAAAACAAAAGCAAAACACAGAGACAGAGAACTGTCAAATCGAATTAAGAATATGCTCGGGGAAATGGGTTAATTCACGATCGTAATTTGGGGTACGAACAAAGTAATTCAGGATGGCGTGGGAAAATGGTATATGATTATTGGTTCTCAAGCGCCTTTTTGTTATTTTACGGACCTCAACTGAAAGTTCTAGGCAAAACGTTGATGGGCGTGGAAGTCATTTAGGGTCGGTATTAGTACAATCAGGGACCGTAGCGGTTATAACTTTTATTATAAAAATCACTTTTTAATCGTTATCAACTGAGTTTATTTTTTGCTCAGTACATAACGATTATTTTTTTAATTTTATTTTTTACTCAGAAAATAATCGTTATGTTTTGAGTTTTATTTTTTGCTTGGAAAATAATCATTACGTTTTAAGTTGTGTTTTTTGCTCGGAAAATAATGGTTACGTTTTAAGTTTTATTTTTTGATCGGGAAATAATCGTTACGTTTTGAGTTTTATTTTTTGCTCAGAAAATAATGGTTACATTTTAGTCTTATTTTTTGCTCGGAAAATAATCGTTACGTTTTAAGTTTTATTTTTTGCTCGGAAAGTAATCGTTACGTTTTAAGTTTTATTTTTTGCTCGGAAAATAATCGTTATTTCTTGAGTTTTATTTTTTGCTCAGAAAATAAAACTTGGTTTTTGCGTATGCCTATGCGCATGCGTGAATAGACAGGGGGCGGCTGCATTGAACTTTTAACGCCACTGTGGAGTGGGTAATGAAAATACAGAGAGCAAAATACAAGGGCAGAAACAAAGACAAGGACAACGACAAAACCACACACAACCTTTATAGAAGGATCAAGCCAATGATAAAGATGAAGAACAGGACAAAGTTAAAGATAAATAATGATGAATTTGTATCTTGCTTCTGTATTTTCATTACCCACTCCGCGGTGGCGTTAAAAGTTCAATGCAGCCGCCCTGTCTATTTTTTTTTTTATTCACGCATGCGCATATGCATACGCAAAAATGAAGTTTTATTTTCTGAGCAAAAAATAAAACTCAAGAAATAACGATTACTTTCCGAGCAAAAAATAAAACTTAAAACGTAACGTATATTTTCCGAGCAAAAAATAAAACTTAAAACGTAACGATTATTTTCCGAGCAACTTAAAATGTAACGATTATTTTCCGAGCAAATAATAAAACTCAAAACGTAACGATAATTTTCCGATCAATAAATAAAACTTAAAACGTAACCATTATTTTCCGAGCAGAAAATAAAACTTAAAACGTAACTATTATTTTCCGAGCAAAAAATAAAACTCAAAACATAACGTTTATTTTCTGAATAAAAAATAAAAATAAAAACAGTTCAACCAGAGCGTTCGACGCGTAAAGTACTGTATTAAAGTATTAGTGTGCTAGTGTGATTTACCACAAGTGCCAACAAAAACTTACACTTTCCACCACTTCCTTTTCTAAAGTGACAGTGCAAAACTTATATCCCGGCTTATAAAAAAAAAAACAATTATGAACGGGGTTGACCCCCCCTTTAAGAATAGGTTTAAAAGCTTTGATCCAGATGTCAACCTTTCTTCTCAAACCAACCACTGCAAACGAATGAGGAACGACGATTTTATACCATTAACTGAAATTAAACAAAATGATGACCACATACCGCGCTATCTAATAGCAACTGCAATTGCATCAAAAAACGGCGAAGAAGTTCGACCTTTGTCATCTTACAATGTTTTTCCGATAGAAACGGGCCTTAAACACATAAGTACAGAGTAAACTGAAGTTACTGAGCTTAAATCTGGCGACTTGCTCATAAAAACCCGAAACCGAAAAGCAGCGGAACATTTTCCTAAAGCCACTCATGTTGATATAGTACCCGTCAAAATTACATCGCACAAATACCTAAACTCAACACAGGGACGCATCTTTTCTAGAAATATAATAAAACTGTCTGAAGAAGAATTAATGGAAGGATTAGCGTGCCAACAAGTTATCGAAATTAGGAAAATAATGAAAATAACTAATGACGTAGCAACACCAACGGGAGCAGCAATTGTCACCTTCAATCTTATTCGGAGGCCAGAAAAGATCAGTTTAGGATGGGAAAGAGTCGCAGTCCGGGAATATATCCCCAACCCGATGAGGTGCAGAAATTGCCAAAAACTTGGGCATCCGAAAAACACTTGTAAAAACACGCACACTTCCGAAGACCCCACTTGTCCCAGCTTCCCAAAATTAAAGCTGAACGCCGGTGTACTGTTCGTGAAGCCTGGAAAGTGTACAACAGCAATCCCACAGCATACCAAATTGAACCTAGGAATAGGCAAAAAAGCAAGCCTTCATACGCACAAACTGCAAGAAACGACCAAACCACAGCAGTCGAACAAATACAGAGCGAAAAAAGCAATCATATTTCTTCATATATTACTCAACCTTCAAATAACATTCAAAATCAAGATAAAACAAGATCACTCAAAAGCAATAATGAAATTCAAAACAAAACTAAATCACCTTCAAATAACATTCAAAAGAATATTTCTAACTCCAACTATGGACCTCAGCTTACAACAACACTAGACCAATCAAATCAAAGCACATCAACAACAGCATCGAAAAGCAGCTCAAGCCCACCTAGAACAAAGAGCAACGAAAAAAATAACACACACACCCAAAGCTGTGACATGGAAATGTCGCCTTGCGCAGATATATACAAAAAATACCCACATTTAAATGTCTTCATCTCGCCAAATACCTACAAAAGAACGCTACAAGCTTTAGAAAATGAACAACACACTTAAGACTAGACACTTCGCTTATTAAATGACCATTGGCATAAACTTTTCAATACTGCAGTGGAACCTACAAGGTTTCACGAACAACAAATACGCGTTAGAATATCTAGTAGCAAAACATAAGCCTGAGATTATACTACTCCAAGAGACACACATAACGAACAAAAATATAAACTTCCTACACCTTACTAATTATAAAGTTTTTCACCACAATAAAAGCTTTACATATGCTAAAGCTGGAACTGCAATCCTTGTCCATGGCAAGATCTGAACTAGCAGCTGCGTTGACATGGAATTGCTTAACATCAATTATGTCGGACCACTTTCCTATACTAATGCACACCGAGATTTCGAATATACCGAAAAAGTTCATAGGGAAATTCAAAGAGCACAAAGCCAACTGGGAACTCTTTAAAGACAAAACAGAGCAGCTTCAAAGGAAATTTGTTCAATCAAGCAACATTAACAAAGAAGCCGCACAAATCAAGAGAATTAAACGAAAATCAGCTAACGAATCCATGCCAACTAGCAAACCACCAAAAGAAAGAAACTCCCCGATTTGGTTCAATAGCGAAATTAGCAGGTTGATAAGCCTAAAAAACAAAGCCTGGAAAAAGCTAAAAGAGAGAGGAACTTTCACACGAGTTTTAAGCTATAAAAAGGCATGTGCACAAGTAAGAAGGGCATGCAAACAAGCCAAACAAGATAACTGGAAGCGATTCGTTAATTCATTAAACCCAACTATCGACACAAAAAGCTTATGGAGAAAAGTGAAAACCATTAAATCTCATAAAACACCAAATTTTCCACCTATTCTTGTAAATAATAAAGTAATCAACCACCAACAGCAAATAGCAAACAACTTTGCAAATGTATGGAGTTCGATAGGATCAAATAGCCAATTCAGTCCTGAAGTAGTTAAGAGAAGGCAAATAAACATCAACCAAATGCAAGAAGGTAACGTAAACAACTACATACTAGAAGAAGTAACGCTTATAGAATTAAATCTAACACTAAAACGCCTCAAAGGCACCACGCCCGGTCATGACAAAATCACATACAGGATGGTCAAAAACGCTTCACCTTCCCTTAAAAATCAGCGATATGTGAGTTATACAGTCAAATTCTTAGAACAGGAGTATACCCTGATGACTGGAAACATGCCATTCTAGCGCTAATACCAAGACCTGGAAAGAATCAAAATAGTAGCGAAGGTTATCGCCCTATATCCCTGTTACCAGTTCTGTCTAAAATTCTAGAAAAGCTTTTTTCGAAAAGACTATGGAAAGTGTTTAAATCCCGAATAATAAGCATTCAACATGCTTATATACCCGACCACGGAGTACATACCATCTGTCACCTTCTAGAAAATCAGATCAAAGCAAATCTACAAAATAGCAAACACTGTGTTGTCATCTCCGAGGACTTAGAAGAAGCATTCGATTCCTCGCAAATAATACAAGAGCTTCATGCATGGGGTGCCCCAAAAATGTTGCTAAACTTTGTGCTCTCCTTTCTCTCTCATAGAAGGGTTACAGTTAAAGTTGAAGGTTTTTTGTCACATACTCACACTATTGACAATGGAATACCTCAAGGTTCCCCTTTATCGGTCCTGCTCTTTAATATTTACACAAACACACTCTCAAAATTGTTAGTAAACTAATCCGGTATAGATTATATGGGCATTTTCGCGGATAATATATTTGCCCTGGCCTCTGGAACAGCAGAGGAAGTGAGCAGAAGGTTAAATATCTTCGACGCAAAAATACACCAATGGGCAACAAATACAGGCGCAGTTATACCTGGGGACAAAATAGAAGCTCTTCACATCTGCAAGAAGCGAAATTGCGATTTTACTAGAACTACGATTAGGAGTGT